GGGCGGGTGATGGGTTTGAGACCTTACCCGCCCCGTATCCGCCCCGCATCCACCCCGTATCCGCCCACCCACTAAATATTCATTAAATTTTGGACCATTATGAATTTAGGTATAATTTTAGAGACTAATTTATAAATCTTAATATTGTATAAGATATAACTTATAATTTAAGCAAATATTAGGGATAAGTTTATAAATTAATTTTTTCTTTCAAACCTCCCGTGCTTTGCTTGTTGGTTACTACGTCGATATTCTGGTAGTTCTTCTCTTTTGTAAGTTTCAAACTCTAGTCTCCAGCTCATTCAGGTACACCTTCTTCCTCTTATTTACTCTGGTCTCCTCTGCGGGTAGTAGAGTTGTATGTCACCTTATACACAGATCTAAAACCACCTTCCTCAATCTTGTTTGTTGCATCGAAGTTGTTTGTTGCCGCTTTAATTTGTTGTAAGGTGAATACTCCGGTTTTCAGATCTAATCCTCTTAGTTCTATTCAAGATACAAGGCCTATAGTCAATACTTCGTTATTTTAATTTTGATATTCTGCTGAATCTAAGAGCATTCGTATATTGATTTTGATTTTTAAGAAACGCGTTATATGTACGTATATTGAATTATCGATTTTGGTATTCTTTTGAATTTAAGTGCATTCACACATTATGCTGATTTTGAAAATTATAAATAATTTATGCATTATAATTTGTATAATCACGCATTAAAAAACAAAAACATCTTGAAAACAAAGCCCAAAACCAATACAACTTAGATTTGATCTTCTTTTTTGGATTGGGATAATGCAAAGGTAAAGATCCAAACCCTTTTCCCTTATAAATTCATAACCCTAATTTAGGGTTGTACAGACTGGTAAGACGTGCCCACACCTTAACTGCAGACTTCTTCTGCGATAGCTTAGGATAAATAAGTCGTGTACACGCCTTATGCGAAAACCTCCTCTGGTCTTTGAATATAACAAAAAAAAATTTAGGTTTTCGGATAATCAGAACATGGTTTTTTATCGATTCGTATCCGATCCGATAATCCGGAAAAAATTTCGGATACCCGATCCGAACTATCCGAAAATTGAAAAACGGACCGGATATCGGAATTTTTGGATCGAATCAACGGATCGGATTTTTTTGCACACTCCTAGCTGTCACGCGGGTCTAGCCGGGTACATCTCCAGTTTGGTAGTGGGTGTGGGGATAGATTTAAGAATGTACCCGCATGGGCGAGTGTGGATTTGAAAATTTTTACCCATCATGGGTGGTGGGCGGGTGGTGAATTGAAAAATATTAGGTGGGTATGGGGATAGAGGAGGGGGTATCCGCACCTGACCCACCCATTTGTCATCCCTAATTGCTACACTTGGCAAAGTAGATGATGAAAATCTTAGGAGGTCTGTTTTGAACTGTCTTTATTTTTTTTTTTATCATTCATGTCCAGCAACATTTAATTTATTATCCATCTATGTTTGGAATGATGGATGTTTTTGCATAAGAAAGTTATAGCCTTATCCTTCACCTGCCCTGGATAGTGGATAGCCCATTCATACAGTCTGCTTCACGAAAAAAAGTGGAAGGGGGCGAGGGTGAAGACTTCAATTGAAGCTTATGCTTGGGAGGCTTAGTGTCGTTTTGTCTATTCTTTATAAATGGCATGGGCGAGTGCGTGTGCTGCATTCTAACATAAGGAATTTCTAGTGAATAGCCTAGCCTGTTTATCAAATAGTTAACGACTGGCATCTGATTAGGGTTTTGTAACAATTCTTCATGCTTATATGCAGTTGATGCGTGGCTTTATACTTTTTAAAATGTAGGCTTCTCTCAGAGTACCTAGGAGTGCGGACTATGTTGCCACTTGTTTTTAAAACTTATGAATGTATTAAAGCTTTGGAGACATACAACTACGATGGCTGCATAGACAGAACTTCTGGCCTGCACGGGCTTGGTGCTGCTATTGGGAGATCTTTAGATGACCTATTTCTTGTAATTTCTCTTGAAAGTTTAAGGTATCAGACTATCATTCTCATATAATTGTTTCTGATTGCTATGGTTTGTTAAAGATATTATAAAACTCATTTTCATTTCCTTTGTCCCCCTTCTCCCTGCAGACCTTGTGCTGGTGATTTTATCGCTTATGACCCCCAGAGGAGGCTTGACCTTTAGAAGCCAAGATTACCAAACGGGGAGTGTCCTCCAGGCTTTCTTGGCTTTGCGGTAAATATGATTCACTTGGACAACTCGAGCTTATTTCATGTCACTGCCGCTGGGAATGGCCTAAGAGAGACTTTGTTTTACAATCTGTTCTCCCGTCTTCAAGTGTACCGAACAAGGGCAGAAATGGTTCTTGCTCGCCCTTTTATAGGATTTGGAGGTTGGGACAAAAACTATAGTATAATTGTTATAACTCCTTATATTACCGTAGGTTTACAAATAATTAATTGTTATAACTCAGTAAATTACCGTAGGTAATTTAAGTTAAGCATCACAAGTAGACACTAGAGTAGATACTATGAATAGGAGGCTAACCTTGTTAGCTCATAAGTCAGTTGACGACAGATCAGGAAAGGGGGATTTTCTTTGTGAAGGAGCAGTCTCTCTAGATGGTGGGATCATCAGAAGCCCTGGTGTATTTTCTTTAGGCAGTCGGTAAGAAGTGTCTGGCAAGCGCCAGATACCATTTTCAATATGCATAAAAACTTGCTTTTCTCTTTCACACTTCATCAACTTCCGGGAATAAATTCACAGTTTCCTTGTGATGAATATGTTTTTGGGTGCATGAAGATTGTTGAAATTCCCAATCCATATTAGTTACCGTCGAGTCTCTCTTTCTTTGTGATATTAGGGAGGTGGTAGATGTGAGATTCCTGAAAACCTCTGCAACATTAGAAATGTCGCAGAAGTACATTGAAACTGAGAAGCAGATTAAAGAGATGAGATGTGAAAAAGAAAAGTTGGAAGAGGATATGAAGAGGGCACTTGCATTGCTGAAGGATGCGAAGTCCAATTTTGAAATAAAGAAGCAAGACTTTGTCAAGTTTCTTGCTCTAAGCTCGTTGTATGCAACTCAGGTAAACTGAATCATAGTCACTGAAATGAGATTTTTTCCCTTTCGTTTGTTATTTTCTTTCTTTACAAATTGCAGCATACATCGAGTTTTCTCACACATAACATCACTTTCTTGGCAGCATCAGCTTCATGCAGCAAGAGATAGGTTGAATCCAAGATGATGATAGCAACCGAACCTAGCTAGCAGATCGGCAAGAGTGAAGAAGCCTTTAGACCCTAAATTTCTGCTTCTGCCACCATGATAGATTTTTTGCCTTCTTAATGGACACGCGAATTGTTGGGGCGCAAGGGAAAAGCATATTTCCTATTTTGACCTTTTTTATTTTTCTTGATAAGTGCATACCTTCACTAGTTTTGGGGTATATATATATGCACACACCACGGTGAGCCAGAAACTAGAGATCAGATCACAGAAGGCATCCCTTGGTCCTTAGTATGGTTATCTGTACACTGGATTATTTATATGATATGATCATTTTCAGGCACATTTGCATTTTTTTGCTCATTGGTTAGAACCCTGAAAGACACGAGTTTGGTTTTGCAAAAAAATGAAGAAACGAGACAATTTACATACAAGAAACATGAGAAGAAAATGAAAATAAAAATGAAGAAGAGAATGAAAATGAATAGGTAAAATAAAAAGGTTCCACCGAGATTTGAACTCGGGTTACTGGATTCAGAGTCCAATGTCCTAACCGCTAGACCATGGAACCACGTTTGAATATTGTGAGACATATTCTTATTTGTCGTATATTATTCCATCACTAACTAACTATGGTTTGATTTGGATTTTATATCATTAGGCTTAATAAAAAAATAACTACCTAAACTATGTCTAAAAAAACGTTTGAGTAACTAATTTTTTTCGTTAAAAATAGGTGTCTAATATTTTTTCCGTTACACTTTTAGGTGTCTACCATTAAAAAAATTATTAAGTATCACATGTCATACTTTTCCTATTTTTTTTAAAAATAAAAATATTATTTGATTTTTTTTGAAAAATCTGGACATTTACACGTGTCATTTAACCGTTCTTTTTAATATTTGGCACCTAAAAGTATAACGAAGAAAATTTTAGACATCTATTTTCAACGAAATATTCTTTATACACAAAACATTAATTTTAAGTATAATTTAAACACTTATTTTTATATTAATCATTTTCATTACTTGCACCACGCTTTTGGCGCTTCTTTCTTCGAGTGTTCCGTTTCCTAAATTTCAATCTTCCAACTTTAATACTAATCTTAATACTAAAGCTTGTCACACTATTTATGTTTGAGGATGAACATATGATTTTCTTTTTCTTTTTGTTTTTTTGTAAATATATGAGCTTTTAAAATATATATTAAAGTTTAATAAGAAAATATATATTAAAAATTTCATCAAGTGACATCATAATAAAAGAGAAAGTTATTATGTGAATATCGTCTCTATTTATCATTATTTATGTTAAACTCATATTTAATTTATTTTTTATATAATTAATAAGTATTTGAAAGAAACAATAATAATTTTTCATCGACTATATAAATTAAATTGAAATCCTAAAATTATTATTACTGAAAGAAATCTGCTTGAATGACAATCATATTTTAGTCAAAGACAATCCAATCTCGCACCGAATTACAATCAACAAAAGACAAATGGTATTTACATTACAACAACTGAATTTCGGACAATCTTATCCATTTCCTACATTGTCCGAACATGCTCACATTTCTTACTACTAAACACAATACATCATCGTCATCGTCTTCTTCCTAATGCACAGCATAACGTCGTCGTTTTCTATTTTGGAATTACCCCTTCTACTCCCAATATCTTAACAGATATCCCCAAGCTCATCCGTCCTTTTGTGTAATTAACAAGATATTTTCATGGTTTTGTTTTTCTCCTCAATTCTTCATCGTCTCTTCCAGATTTATCTACCACTACTTGTTGGAACAAAGAAACCCTCAACACATACATGGCATCTCTAAAAACCCCAAATTCAATTCAACCCTTAAATCCTCGATCTCCGTCAGCTTTGTCATGAACCCTTGAAATCGGCCATCTTTTTTTCTACCCCAAGTTCCCCTTTTTTTTTATATCTTTCTTCGTCCCATGGCTGCTGCTGCTCTTAGATCGAAACCTTCATTCGAAACAGCCTCTTTAACGGTCTCTCAATTTAGGCACTTCCTGTCAAGTTATATGCACTATGGCCGCGTGGTCGCCTCCTCCAGCTTTACCAAATGGGACGACTACTTTGTCAATACTCCTTATCACTTCACTTCTTTCAGACCCTTATCGCTTCGCGCCGATTTCCTCGGAAAGGGTTCCAGATTATTGGAAATTACTAGGAATTCTCACTCTTCGAATAATGATTTCGATAGACAAGTGAGGGGGAGATTGAGTTATAATAATTCTACGATTTTGAGCTCTCATGGGGACCCACCGGAGGTTTGGCAGCCTCCTGGAGATGGGGTTGCTATTCGGGTTAGTGGGGTGAATTTGGGCCGTGGTGGAGGAGGAGGAGGTGGTGGAGGAGGAGGAGGGGCGACTACGGGTTCTGGAGGTGGGTTTGGACCGGATTCGAAGGATGATTGTTGGGGGGGATCTAATTTGGGGCATGATTTTCCGACTCCCAAAGAGATTTGTAAAGGATTGGATAAGTTTGTGATTGGGCAAGAGAGGGCAAAGAAGGTGAGGATTGTCGGTGTTTTTGTTGCCGTTGTCATTTTTATTATTGTTGAAATGGGCATTGGTTTATTCTATTGAAAGTAGAAACTGCATTTATCGATTAGTTATTTAATGGCATTTGATTGGTTTGAAGTTATGTTGACATCATCATCTTTTATTTCTCCTGGTATTAAGCCATAGTGCATATAACTTGACAGGTTCTGTCTGTGGCAGTTTACAACCACTATATGAGAATCTACCACGAGTCATTACAGAAACGGTTAGTTTAATGCCTTTGAGATATGCAGTTTTTTTTTTTTTTTGATAAGAATTGATGGTCTCATTAAAAAAACCCCTTTTAATTAATGGAGCTTGAAAGAAAGATCCTTAATCATTGGAAGGAGGAAAATAGTGCCTTAGAATTTCATTCAACAACTTAATTACATAAGATACAACCAGGACAACACCCCTATCTAAAACAAAAAAACATACAGTGCCCTTAAGCAACAAAAAACAACAACACTAACTTAGACTTAACCTCCTAAGCTAGGTCCCCGTCAACTGATGAGGAGTCCTGATTACCAAACTAGCGAAATTAATACAAAGTAAGAGCCTATACAACCCAAAGAAAAGACAGAAAACAAACAACAAAGGCCTTCTACACTCAACCAATCCCCTGCTTAGCTAGTCTGTCAGCCTCCAAATTACAGCTCCTAGGAATCCATTTAAGAACACAGCCCTTATCATAAATTGCAGCTCCAATTTCCTCCACCAGATCACTAAAAAAGACCGGGGCAAATTGCAGTTTTAAGATCCATTCCACTGCAATTTTGCAATCACTCTCTATAATTAGCCTTCTCTTTTTAGCCCAATCAGACGAATAGAAAAAATCAATTCCTTCCTTAATAGCTTTCAATTCTGCCAAAGTATAAAGACCAGGCCCTACTACAGTAGAGAACTAGGCTAAGGAACAGCTGTTAGAATCTCTCAAAATATCTCCAATTCCACCTTGCATCCCATCTCCATTAACTGCCCCATCCACATTAAATTTAAACGCACCCGTTGGAAGAGGAGTCCAACCAGTAATCTTCTTAGGAGTAGAAGGACGATGAAAATTATCAGCCCGCGTAGGATCCCCTACTAGTAGGTCAGTCTGAATCTGAACAGTAGGGTGCTTAGCTAAATACCATTTTGCCAACCTGAATCTAATTAAAAAGTACAGACCCGAGCTGTCAAGTTTCCCATTTTCAAACACAACCACATTCCTTGCCTTCCAATTTGTCTAGAAAACAACAGCCGGGATGAACTTCCAAATGGTAAAATTCTGCCTTAGGTTCGGCCAAGAACATATAAGGGAAGAAGGATCTTGCGGCAGTACATAAGAGATTTCCCATAACCTTAGAAATTTAGTCCAGATTTCCCTAGCAACATAACACAAAAGGAACAAGTGTTCTATTGTTTCTTCATCGGAGTGGCATAAGGGACAAAGCACATCCACCATGGGAATCCCTCTTTTAACTAATTCCACTCTCACTGCTAATTTGCGATGACAAAGCTGCCACAAGAAAGTTTGAACTCTAGGAGGGGCCAATCCCGCCCAAACCCAGTTATTCCATTCAAACTCCGTTCATAACTGCCATATAACGTCAATCTACAAAACTTGACCGAGAACATGCCATCACCCTTTCCCGACCAACCTAGAAAATCATCCACCGAACCAGAAAGCTTAATAGAGTCAATCAACGACATCAAATCGATCCACTGGTCCAACTCCCAATCACATAGGTTTCTTCTAAGTTGGATATTCCAGACCCAAACATTATTTTCAAACTCACCAAACTCAGAAACCTTCCCCCATTTATTGATCGACAAAGCAAAAATTTTGGGGAATTGATTTTTTAGAGATAGATTAGCAACCCAAACATCAGTCCAGAAAGCTATCGACCTACCGTTTCCCACGTGGATCTTTGAATTATCCCTCAAACAGTTCCCAATCTTATCATTTTTCGCATAGCTATTCAATATACCTCTCCATATCCAGGAATCTAAAGGAGAAGCAGCACTAGAAATAGAAAGAAATAGAAAGAGACATGTTACTAACGTTGTTTCTGTTGCAAATCAACCTTTTCCATTGACTATTCTTTTCATTAGCAAATTTCCAAACCCATTTCCCAAGAAGAACTCTATTAATCAAACTTAAATCAAGGATTCCCAAACCTCCCTCTTCGAGAGGTTGACAAACCGTTTTCCAATTCACCCAGTGAATTCGTTTCTTAACGTGGTCTTCTCCCCAAAGGAAATTAGCCATCAAAGAGTTCAACTTCTGAGTCACTTTGAGAGGAATTTTGAAAATAGATAGGAAAAAAATCGGCAAGGGGGACAACACAAATTTAACCAATACGAGTCTTCCCGCCAACGACAATGAATTAGCTTTCCAACCTGCTAGTCTCTTAATAAAATTCTGGACTACAGGTTCCCACATACCCTCAGAATTCTTCCTTGTACCTATTGGCAAACCAAGATAGGTCATGGGAAAAGACCCCACACCAAAGCCCGCTTTCTTAGCCCAATCCTTTATCGTGTCAACATCCATATTAACGCCAAACAAAGTGCTCTTAGACAAGTTTAAATGCAACCCTGACATAACACCGAACACCCTCAAAACTCTCCTAATATTTAAAATCTGCGTTGGAGAATCTCTGCAGAAAAGGATTAAATCATCTGCAAACTACAAATGGAAAGAATTGTCAACTCTACCAATGCTAAACCCTTGAAAAAGACCTAAATCAACAGCCTTGTTCAGCATTAAATTTAATAGTTCCCCAACTAAATTAAACAGGAGAGGGGACAAGCTGCAACCTTGTCTCAAGCCTTTACTGATTTGGAATTCCCCAGTAGGAGAGCCATTCACTAGCACCGAAATCGAGGTTGTAGAGACACAACACTCAATCCATGAAATCCATTTTTCCCCAAAACCCATAACCTTCAAAACTGCTCCTTTCCTCCCTAATTTTCTCCAATAGTCAATGCCTTCGTTTGCCAAAAGAGCACAGTCAATCAATTGCCTACCCGGAATAAATGCAAACTGCGAAGGACTTACCAAACCATTAATAACCGCAACAAGCCTTTTGGAGAGTATTTTGGAAATAATTTTGTAAAGACTGCCAACAAGACTAATGGGTCTGAAGTCTTCAATGCCTACTGGATTCACTTTTTTAGGGATTAGAGTAATAAAAGAGTGATTAACCCCATTTTCCCATTTTCCCATTTTTTACCTTTGTGAAAATCTTGAACAAATTTCATGATAAGATCCTTCAATAGAGGCCAGAATTTTTTAAAAAACCCATAGTATACCATCCAGACCCGGTGCCTTGGCACTGTCCGAATAAAACACTGCTTCCCACACTTCCTGTTCAGAAAAATCAACCTCTAAGCCCTCCTTTTGGTCATCAGTCAATTTAGCAAAATTCAGGTTGATTTCCTCCACCTCCAGAGTTGAATTCGCATTGTAAATTCATAGTGAGAGATGGTTGATGTAGTTAATAATTAGACACACGGCTTTTCCTATGCCTGAACAAAAAGAGAAGAAGGAGAAATATTTGAATCTATACAAAAACTTTTAGCATATTGAAGATACCTGGATATGGTCTACGCTTATAAATTGTGACAGCCAGTAGTTATAACTGTATTGTCTAGTGAATATAGATACTTTGAATTGCAATGTTAGCCCCCATTTCTTCTACCGTGGAATGTTTGTGTCTCTGTTTTTGAATGTTCTGTGCGTTTGTTCTTGAGGAGAGTAATAGTTATCAATATGTTTCTTTGCAATGCTAGGCCTGCAGAAGATTCAGGTAGCAATATAGCAGATGTACTAGAAGATGATAAAGTGGAACTGGAGAAAAGTAACATTCTTTTAATGGGGCCAACAGGGTCAGGTAATTTTTCATCGTACTTGGTGTTAGAAAATGAGCATTTACTTCTATGTTTCCACGCTATGACATCTTCTTTGATTGAGTTGTGAAATTTTTTAAATTTGTCACAAAGTTTTCCTCTTTTTTTTTAATGTACCATTTAAATGAGGTGTGAATATTAGTTGAGCTCTAGTTTTTCCATTATCTTTTGAATTGTAATAATTTCTTATTATTTTTTCAATTACTAGTCTCACATTACCTTCTGACTTTGTTTCAAGGACAGGGAAAACATTACTTGCCAAAACCTTGGCTCGCTTTGTGAATGTTCCTTTTGTTATTGCGGATGCAACTACATTGACTCAGGCAAGCTGCTGACACTTTGTTGTTGTAGTTAAATGCTTTGATAATTTCATGCTTTTCCTCTTTGGGTGATTTTCTTTTATTTAATTAGTGGTTCATTAAACATCTTATTACTGTTAATAGAAGTGTAATAACCTTCATAGGTCATGGTGATTTTACTGCAATGCATATTAACATTGAAAGTAAACTGGGTTTTCCCTTTACTTGTACTGTCTTCTCTGCCACCAAGCGAAAGATCTCTATGAAGTACTATTTAATACCAAAGCTTGATGCTGTTGCTCAGTGTCCCTCCTTCATGGGATGCCTATTTTCCATGCATTAGCTATATAGACAATCATAATAAATTTATATTTAGATTCTTTTGGGACATTTTATTGATACAACTAAGAGTGAATTAATATTTCTATATATTTCCTTTTTTTTTGTGTGTGTGTGTGGATAAGTTTGATATTATCATCTACGAAGCACAATTCTTCTGCAAGTGTACTATTTTTGGTCCATCTGCAACCAGATTATTTAAGGTTGTTGCTGTAACAAATCAACCAATAATCTATTTACATTCTAACAACTGGAACTAAATGAGCTAACTCCCACATTGTGTTCAACCATTTGTTGATTGAAGCAGCTACCATTGTTCTTGCACTTGCAAGTCTTGTCCTCCCTATCTCCTTAATGCTTCCCATTACCTCCAGTTCAGTGCTTTCCCTAGGCTTGACTTGCCTCCAATTCCTTTACTTCCAGATTATTTAGATGCATGCTTTACAAGCCAAATGCATGATAATGGAAATTAAAGCCTCCCGCTTCAAACTTCTAGCTGCCCACTTAAATTCTGTTTGCCACTGCTTTGTGTAGCTGACAAAGTTGAAGAACCTCTTTTGGTAAACTGACATTCAAAGAACAAATGATTCCTTGCGTGTTTTCTCTGTATGACAGAATATGGCCATTCCCTTGAGATAAGCCTATTCTTGTTGTGCGGATGTAGCCATCCAAGATTTGAGGGAGTGCTTAGGTTCGTGGAATGGGAACTATAGCAGCCTATCTCGCCTTGTGCTACTTTTTCCTTAGCTTATTTTGGTTACCATATACTTTGGTCCAGGGAACCTCCAAACCAATAAGCCATCCTGCTGTATGAACTAAGGAGCCAAATCCCTCCGTTGCATGGTTTCTTCCAGTTCTAGCTACTTCCTTGGTTTACTCATTCATGCCATAAAGATCTTACATTAAACTACTTTTTATTTTAACATAACTGTTTATAAAAATATTTCCTCATTGAGCTTTGTTTGAAATTCGGTTATTAGTATACATGTTGCATGGAACTGAGTGTTGTTCTTATGTTATGTGCAGGCAGGGTATGTAGGTGAAGATGTTGAATCTATATTATACAAGCTCCTTGTGGTAAATTTCAAGAGCTTTTTGTACTCTGTATGAATTACGAGCTTTGAAGTGCAAATGTTTGTTCATTTCACATTACATTATAATGGCGTGCATTTTGTATCTTTACCAAAGTTAGCTTTAACTTTGCATTAGATAGGTCTTTCTATGCTACACTTTAAATTAGCACTGGTAAAAAGTAAAAAATTTATAGTAAACCCAAGTGCATTGATGCCTGACTAATCTAAGTTCAATTCTTTTATTTCATGAGAAATTTGTTGGGGTTGTACTCTTATGCCTTCTGTTGATTAATTATCCTGTTCAGAATTTGTACACTTTTTTCTTTTCCAGGTCGCTGACTATAATGTTGCAGCTGCACAGCAGGGCATTGTTTACATAGATGAAGTTGATAAGATCACTAAAAAGGTTTGTTCCATCTTATTTGCAAAATCCATTTGCCTTTTATTGCTCTTGATTCATCTCTTACTTCTTGCAATGCAGGCTGAGAGCCTTAATATTAGCAGGGATGTTTCTGGGGAGGGTGTTCAGCAGGCATTACTAAAGATGCTAGAAGGAACTGTAAGTTAATGGTTTATTAACTGTGGAAATATTTTATTGTAAATGGCAATTTGAAGCAGTGGCGCCATATTTTATTATTGCTTCCTTTGGTTGTAGATCGACTCCATATAAGATGAGCTTGCAAATTGTCATGATTTCATAAGCCTACTAATCATCAATTGCAGTTAGTATTTAATCAGGTTTTCAATTTTGTAAGTGATTCACCATCGTGATTCATGGAGCTTCTTTTGTTGATCCAGATTGTTAATGTTCCTGAAAAGGGAGCTAGAAAGCATCCTAGAAGTGAAAATATTCAGGTGAAAAGGGGCTTATTTATGTTATTTAATATGCAGACCACATGTATAAGATATCCATATTGCTGTTCGTTTTCCAAGAATCGATCAGGACTACTTTATCTTGCAGAGTCTGTGTCTGATTCTTGATGGGCCATACAATTTCGTGCTCATTTCGCCCTTTATTTGTGATCACTTTTTTATTGTTTTGTTTTCATATTTTTTTCACTCTTTTAACAGATTGACACAAAGGATATACTCTTTATATGTGGGGGTGCCTTTATCGACATAGAGAAAACAATCTCAGAAAGGTTAATTCCATGTAAACAGTTTCGATTTTAGGGTCCACAACTTTTAACGAACTGCTAGATTTTGCCTAACATTGATGTAAGTTTCTTGAATGCATTTCAGACGTCAAGATTCTTCCATTGGTTTTGGAGCCCCAGTGCGTGCAAACATGAGAGCTGGTGGTGTTACAAATGCTGCTGTGACGTCATCTTTAATGGAGACTGTAAGTGCTCTTAGCATCAGAGGTGATATTAATTCATGCATTGCTATGACTAAAAATTTTAAATTATCATCCCACGTGAACCACTTCTGTTTTGACAGGTTGAAAGTAGTGATCTCATTGCATATGGTTTGATACCAGAATTTGTTGGACGATTCCCTGTTCTTGTGAGTTTGTTGGCTCTAACTGAAGAACAACTTGTTCAGGTGAATGTTTTACTTTGTTTTTTTGGCTCTTTAGCCTGCAAAGTATATTCTTACTAGGTTATTACGGGATAATGAAGAACTGAAGGAATTGGTCGATCACACTATTGCAGTCATAATTTTAAATTTTATTAGGTTTCCTGAACAAAAAGCATACTTGTCTTACTGTTGGCTCAGACATGCTTTTGAAAAAAAAAAGGAATTGAAGATTAATGGTCTGTGTAATATTTCTTTGAAGGTGCTCCTATTGTTTTTCTTAAATGGCTTAGGTGTACTAGTGAATAGTGATGCAATTGTTTAATTAGCTTTGTATTGTTACTAAGTTAAGGGACTTGAATGGTATTATTAGATGGGTTGCTAGGTCAGCCAATGTTGAGGCTGATAGTTTAGCTAAGGCTGGTATTGGCTAGTTTACTGTTGGGATTAGCAAATTTAGTCTTTGGGTTGGTTATTGTAAAGGGAGTGTTTATGTTTGTTTTTAAACATTATGTATATTTCGGTTATTAATGAATCCTAAGGCACTCTTTTCCTCCTTCCGCTGATTAAGGAGCACCTTGTGCTCCATTAATCATGAAGGGGGTTTTTAACGAGGCCTACTTTCCTATAAAAAAAAATTTGTTTAATTAGCTTTATATGCGATACTTACTGGAACCAATCCTCATTTAGGTCCTAACAGAGCCAAAAAATGCCCTGGGAAAGCAATACAAAAAGATGTTCCAAATGAATGGCGTAAGTTCTTCATGTCCCTCTATTTTTGAAATGTCAGTTCCTATATTTAATTTGCATGCAATTTTGCACGGGAACTGATTTCTCTTTGTTCTTTGTTACCTCAGGTCAAACTGCATATTACAGAAAATGCTTTGAAATCAATTGCCAGAAAAGCAATAACTAAAAATACCGGAGCCCGAGGCTTAAGATCTATCTTGGAGAATATCTTGATGGATTCCATGTATGAGGTATGATATTTCTTACTATTCTGTTTTCTTGTTTAAGCTATTATGACTATAGTGTGCAGAAGTTCGCTAGCTACAGCCCTTAACCGTTACGAGAAATGTGCGTTGGATGGATAGTACTATCATCTTTGGCATGTTCTAGCCTTATATGTTTTAGCCTTATATGGACTTCATTGTTTGGGACCAATCCAAATGCTTTTAGATTACCGTGGAGTTTCAATTTTAGGATTTTCTTAAACCTGTGCATGCAGATACCGGATGTTAGACGCAGTGACGATATAATAGATGCAGTAGTAGTTGATGAGGAATCCATTGGAAGTGGAGCGAAGATTCTTTGCGGTAAAGGTGCATTCGACGGTTACCTTTCGCAGCAACAAAAGTCGAATGAGTTGAAGGTGCGTGTGAATTGCATTGTATTTGTAGGTCAGGATTTATATGTTGGTAAGTAAATTGAAAACTGTGTTGGTGGTGCTGCAGACAAGTGATAAGGAGCAGGCAGAGGGTGAGGCGGAAACGGAGCTTATTCCTTCAGTTGTTGCCAGCATGTGATTTTGTAACTTAATTTGTACGTTGTACATAATATTTCTAGAGATGATTCATTTGACATGACATGACATCCATACACCATTTTTATTAAGAAATATATAATATATGGGGTTTTAATTCAACTTAGCATCTCCTTGTTTGCCGAGTCTCGTCCGTTCCAAATGATCTCTGTTTTATTTATTGGCGGGTGTGGACGTTCTTCATTAATATGTGGGATATTCGAAATGTCCTCATCACGGTTTCAACTGGGAGTCATGTCTCAGGGGAGCCAAATTTGGAAAATCTTACCTTTTTCTATTCTTTGGTCCATTTAGCTGTCTAGGAATGAGATTTCCTTCGATAGCAAAAAGTTGGATTTTATCAACGGGATTGGTTTAAGTGGACAACTTGATATTATTTAAGATTTTAAGTTCGAGTGTTGAGAGATTCATCCATCAAAATCAGATGTGCGGATCACTAGCTTTGTCTCTATGGGTTGGCTCGTAGTTTGCCATACTCCGAGATGTATTAATATTGAAGTCGATGCTCTAGCTAAAGCGGGGGTGGGGTAATATATGCAATTGTGCTTTTCGTTTGTTGGGTTTCCCTTCCTACATGGTCTCTTATTTCTTACAGTGGATTCGTGTGGAGTGATATTTTTCCGTTACTCCGTCATTTAGTACTGGAATTGTTTACTAAATAAATTCCCTGAGTACTCTTTTCCTCTTTTCGACTTACAATCATCGATTAAATTATCGATTATGAAGAGTGTTTTTAATAAGATCCCATATTATTTTAAAAAAATGTTATTATTTAATTTCCTTACATTTATTATAAATCTACATTAACGGTTGGTTTAACCTATCTCTATCACTTGCTGATGGTTTAATCTATCTCTATCACTTGTTGACACTTGGTATAAAATGAGACAATTAAAAATTATTTTAATTGAAATTATGGAAGTGTTGTCTATTTTTTCAGAGGCATGTTTGATAATTTGTTATATAACACTAAACGTTTAAAAATTTAGGACCTCATTTAGGATAGTTTACATTATTGGTCATCATTTTATTATTTTTTATAATCTTTTGTCATTTTCTTTTTATTATTGAAATTTATATATATTTTTTAATAATTTTATTCAAACTAATGTGACGAGTTAAACAACCAAGGAAAGTTGAGATAAATCTCAAGGCTTTTTGCACAAAAATATGTATTTAGTTATGAGTCAAGTTATATAGGGTAAATTACACAGTTCCTTATTGAACTTTACGCTCTCTCCTATTTTACTCACCGTACTTTCAATTTTTCTATTTTGCTCACTGAACTTTACATATTAGATCATTTTGCTCACTCTGCTATTAACTCTCTAATGATGTGATGATGTGTCATTTTTTTATATTTAATATGAAATAATTGAAAATAATAAAGGTAAATAACATCGTTCCTCTCTGAACTTTACTCTCTCTCCTATTTTGCTCACCCAACTATAAAATAAAAACACAAGGTGGTAGTCGGCCACCGTTGATCATTGTAGATGGAGGTCGTTCGGTCCCAAATTTTATGTGTCGCTTCACCTCGACACTTTGAGTCTGAATCTGACATCCATTTTGTCAGAACTTGCTTCGAAGTCCACGAATTAGAGATTGAAAGTGGGGAAACCAAAAAATTTCATTCGAATTCATGGATATTTTTGGTGAAACAACCACCAGATTCAAACTTAGTGGTTTGAGACGAAGTGACCCATGAATTTTGGGATCGAACGATCACCATCAATGACAGTCGACGGTGGGTGGAATGAAAAATGAAGTGGTGGCCACAAACGACAATGGGGGGAAAGAAGAGGATTCGAAACGAGGTCATTTTGGTATATATTTGAATTTTTCAAAATGACACTGTTTTGATGCTTGTGTCATGTCATAACACAGTTAAAAAGTTAACTGCAGAATGAGCAAAATGATTCCATTTTTAATGTGTTATGACATGACACAAGCATCAAAACAGTGTCATTTTGAAAAATTCAAATATATACCAAAATAAATTTACCCAAAAATAAAAAGTTAAATTACACAGTTGAAAATATGGTGAGTAAAATTGGAGAGAGTAAAGTTCAATGAGGAACTGTGTAATTTACCCAAAATATATTAACATTTCATTAAAATTTATTAAATAGATTTCATAGAAATAAAGAAAAATAAATTCTGAGTTGGAGAAAGATTTTTTTTAAATAACATTAAAATTGATATTTAAATTAAACTATTTTTTTGAGAACTTAAATTAAACTATATCATCACCTTAAAAGTTAAATAAAAAAAATTAGAGACGATTGAACATGAGACCCTAACAGCACAAAATTAATGGTTTAAGTACTGAATTAAATTATATAATTGTTATACATTCAACCAAATTAATATTTGACTTGAATTATGATTAAAATTACAAATAACAAAATAATTATTTGTTTTTATAGATTTAATATGGGATCATCTTAAAAATTAAATTTATAATGTTTATTTAAGATGTAATATAACTTTAGTTCAGTAATTAAATATAGACTTTTTTATTAGGATTCAGTGATCGATTTTCTTTAATAGTATTTTGATTTAATTTTAAACTAATAATTTTTTTTTTGCTTTTTGTGTGGTCAATTTAAATATAAACATTAATATATTATTAATTTAATTTAGCTATTAAGAATTAAACCCTCAATCGTAGAACCTGAGTTCAATTCTGAACTTTTTTTTAAGTTGTTTAATTTATATTTTTTATAAGATAATGACACTTTATTAATTTAGAAAAAATATTAAAAAAAAGGTTTAATAAAAAAAATATGTGTCTAAGCTATGCCTCAAAAAACGTTTTAGTGCCTAAAGAATTTTTCGTAAAAATATGTGTCTAACGTGTAATACCCTGAACTCGTATATGTGTATTATTACGGGTCAAAGATGTCACATCAAATATTCAAAATGTTTGTTAACCCAATTGGGTAAAATTTTGTTTCTTTGAAAAATTTCTGAATTTCACATTTATTTTAAAATAATTAATCACGGAAAATCAAAATATAATGTTCCGACTTCTATTTCAAATTCGATTTCAGGCATTAAACAGGGATTCTACTATGTTTTATGTAATAAATAAAATTGTCTAGTTTAAAATCTCATTTAAAGTAATATTTAAAACATAGTTTAGTATCATAATATTTGTACATATTAAATTATATTTGATACTAACTATATCAATAGTTTACATACTTTTCTTACTTGTATACATTCCAGCTAGAAATCCAAAACAATAGTAGGATGTCTTTATTGTTACCTGTTAAAATTCTTTAAGGATTGATGTCAAACTCATCTCTTTACTCCTCTCGCTTTTTTTACCTATGCGTGAAAATCATCTATACACTTAGTGAGACAATCATAAAAATAGTCAAGGTAATGCAACACATAAATGTAAATAAGTAATAATGTTCAATGCATTATGATCACTTTACTTGTACTTTCAATCATGCTACTAATATTAACATGATACGAATCGAATATAAATTTATTACCAATACACTTGTCATTTATTCCATAAGCTCATAAGCTTATTCACTTGTTTATCATTTATTAACCAATAAACCATATCCCAACTTAAACCTTGAGGGCCCTGGATATTCGAGTCAAATATATGCACCGTAGTGCTTTCACATAAGGTCGTGTCCACCATATCCAATAAGTGTCTTGGGTATACACTATAGTGTTTTGCATCATGTGTCTTCGCATGCAAGACACTCTAATGCCTGTACTATGTGCCTTTGCTAGATACTCTAGTACATGTTTTATGTGCCTTTGCTAGACACTCTAGTACATGTACTATGTTCTTTTGCTAGATACTCTAGTACTACCAATTATGCAGCTACTAATGAACTCTATGACATGCCAACTATACCCTGTCCCTCAATGATTTACTTGGGCATATGGTCTATTTTATTTCATCCTTAGTAATATATATCAATAATTTAATATTTGAGCAGTTCATACCCGAAATAACATTCGGAATAAATAGTATATATATTCATGATAAACATCATATATAATAACTATTGATCAATGTATTTTATATTCACATATTTAGGTTATGTCAAGTATATGATAAATGACATAAATATCATGCCAACATAAATAAAGTAGACTTATCGCAAGTCTTCCTAATGATATATAAAACATTCATGTATAATGTCATGCACACATTGCACTCACTTTGACTCTTTGTATACAAGTCAAAATATAAGTCTCATTATGCTTTAACCTTATCCTTTGCTTTCAATTTGGTTCAATCCCAAAATTTAACACAATTTCATATTTTGGCAGTTTGCACTACATTCAAAGAAATATTCTTCGTTATTAATATATACACTAAAAAATTATTACGTTTATACCAATGGAAACTAGACTCGAATAATAATCTAACCATATAAGGCACTCCTAGTCAATTTGTAAAATTTATGATGAATTTTCAAAGTTGACTTACAGAAGCTGTTTTGAGCAAAATCTGTTGCCCTGTTTTCTGACCTATCATCGATTAAAAATTCATATCTTTTTGTATACACCTCGAAATCAATAACTGTTTGTTTTTTAAAAAAATTAGACTTATATACAAATCCAATGGTATAAAAATCATCCTCTAATCTTTCTATATAATTTATGTAATTTTCTAAATTTACTGTTCAGATCACAAATATAGGTAGATTTCACCAATTTACATTTTCAGCTTATTCACGAATTCTATTAGCTCACCATATGTACGTATATGCATAAACCAAAAATCTCACAGCAATTAGGAGTCGCTTCTTATTATAATAACTCCGTCACTAGCTCATCGCAAGCCAATGTTTGTTCGATAACATAAGTACAAATTAAATTTGCACTCACTTTGTGTCCTTAGCTTACAACCTTCCTTAGAAATTCACATTTCATCCTTAAGCTTCTCCTTAGCTTTAATATTGTTTGTTATTGGATTTCAAGAACACAATTTAAATGAGCATCATTTCAAAACATATGCAATTCAAACCACACGTTAGAATCTCACTAACATAGGCACACATTAGAAAATAAATTATTAAAAATCTTCCGATGCTCATTCTATACTAATTTCATGTCA